GCAAAAACTAAGAGTAAAAGGAGTACTCAGTACTTACTTGAACTTCTTCTGATGATTCCAGCTCAGCAGACCTCCGTCTCCAGGGTAGATTCTCACAGGAAAGTTTTCGACACCAAAGAGTTGAAACTCACGTAAATTTCGGAAAATCGGACCCGATGCCGTGGCTTTTCGCGAAACTACTGTGTCGATCCTACTACTACTGCGCCAGTTAAATTTATTTAGCTCGAAAATAATTTTTTAAAAAACAAAAATTTACTTTTTGAAAATTAAAGACTTTATTTATTTGACGTTTACTCTACAACAATCTAAGCTGGAATGAATTTTAATAATGTATTTTACAAGATAATGATAAATGCAAAGTTAACAGTTTACACCGTTTACGGTTTTATATTTTAATAGAATTAACGTTTCTTCTTATATAACTGGCGTGAAGATTTCGTCTTCAAATTTACCCATCCTGTCTGTAGTCTATACGATTGTGTCAAAAAAATATAATAAGGACTTAATATGCAGTAACCAGAAACAGTTTCCGATGGTTATAAATAAAAGTTTAGTTACGTCAATACTAAATGGGTGCATTTAAAAGAGACAAACTCAAACTTTCAGCGCATGCCTGGAAATTGTGTAGAACAAAAATAAAACAGCTAAATAAATTCACATTGTTACTTTATTAATATGACACTTTGATTAGAATTATTTAACAATATTTTACACGTCTTTGGATGAATATTACTAAAGGCAAAATTTATAATATCAGCCTACCGACTATAGTAACAAATAAATACACTAAATACAGGCTAGTTTAATAAACACACCAAAAACAAAAATAGGATAATTAAATATAAAATAAATTACTTAATAATATTGTCATGAAATCAACTGACCCTTGGTTTTCACTAACAAGAACTAAATTCACATATTTGTTTTAGAACAATATTTATTTTTCAAATTTTTTTAGGAGGTAGATTTTTTACACCAATTATGTTAATTTTGGTCAATGATTTAACATACATCCTATAAAAATATCAGAAAAATGCTTTGTAAACTTTACAATTTTTTGTGGACACTCGGTATACAAGGTCTGATTCAAAAATAAAGAGAATTTGACTATTTATTCTACGTTGGAACCTTTGTCTGTCGTCTATGTAAATTTCGAACTCAGGGGAACTCCAGGGATCTCAGGGGAACTCCAGGAAACTAAGGAGGAACTCTTAGAAACATCTAGGAACTCTGAGCAACTCACAAGAAATTCCGAGGAACTCTGTTAAAAAAGGAACTCTTTTGTAAAAAAGCTTTCGGTTTAGTCCGATTAGTGACAGTTTAACACGCTTAAATGTCATTTAAAAGCACCCTAAAATTTGTCCCGCTCCAGCCCCTGACTATCCGAACTCGCCTAACATAGGTCTGGCGGTCGCTGGCTCTCGCTCTATAATGGAAAATTCCGGAGGAGATGCTGTTTATTAAATATTTTAAAATTCTGAAGGCCATCATGATAGTACATTTAGAATACTTTTGTTTAATTCTGTAGTTTTACTCGCTGTACCTACATGATATTTTTTAACACACAAGTGCTTTAATAGTACTATAAAACTGCAGTAAATAAAATAAATTAAACAATTTTTTATATAGAAAATATTTGATTTTAAATTATTTTATAGCCAGATTCCGATTGGAACAAGCAAAAAAAAATCGTATGAAAGTAAACATAGTATGGGTAGATAACGTAATTCATTTTATATTTATATAAATTGGTCTCCTCTTGTACTGGGGGGCTGTACAGCCTTTACAGACAAGCCGCCCTGTCGAGATGTATCCGCAAGTCATTTTACTTAATCATATTTTTTTCTAGTTGTTTGCAGCGTTTAGATTTGAGCAATTATTGAGCTTGAATGCTGTGTTCTATTGGTTAACACCTCAAATAATTTTACAAGTATCTGGTCCAGGAAATGTTGGCAGTGCAATATTTTGAATGTCGTGATAAAAAAGTTGTAATTTATTAAATTTTGAGTATATTAAGTACTGCCTACAGAAGTTAAACATCTAATCGCCTATTCTGACTTTTGTGGGGGACAGAATAAAAATAAAAACATAGCTAAGCTATTTCATGTATCTGGTTCAATGTACTAATCTGGAAAGAATAGACCACAAATTTTATGCACCTGGGCATTCATACATAGAGTGCGATAGTTTTTGTGTAAATTGAAAAAAAGAAGAAGAAAAACCCTCATGTATTTATACCTGATGATTGGGTTGACATTATTAAAGAAAACAAGCAAAAATGTTATTGTCACATGCATGAGTGATGACGATTTTCCCTCATTCCAATATCTTCATGACAACATAAAAGATCCAAAGAAAGATGAGGAAAACACATTGTTCAGATGGCGGAAAAATGTGTGGTTTCCTTATAAAAAGGATGACTTTTAGAAGTTTTCTCTTAGGATATCAAGAAATGAAAGCTGGACTTCAATTTCACCGAAAATTGATCTAAGCTAAAAAAGGGAAGACCAACCTTCACATTGGAAAACCTCAATAACACACTACAAGAACACATTAAAAATTTCATATAAAAAATATGAGAATTTAATGACATTATTAGACTATATACCGCCTTGCCATCACCTTTATGTTGATTTGTCTCATGAGGGTAAAAAAGGTAAGAAAACGAGAGAAACAGCTAATCCAACCGAGGTAGATATACCGCCAACTCCTGAGGTAGATGTAGATATATTGATTGCTCAGGCATCAGAAATCGAAAGTGATATAGACAAACATTTTATAGACTGTTAAACTCGGATTATGATGATTAATTATGTTTATTATCTATGTTATGTTGAGAATGGGGTGTTAATACACTGCGACCTACAAGATCCATTGTGCCCCCTTCTGTCGCCAATGCACTAAGGAAATGTCTCAATGCCTATAACGACCCTTCCAATCCTATTTTCTCAAGGAAGTGTAGGATGTGAAGTGGCTTCAAGTTGGATAAATCTCCCTCTTCTATTTGATATCCTCCTAGATATAGTGCCCTTGGATTCTGGAGTGCTACACATTCAATTAGGATGTGAATGGAGGTTTCGTCCACCTCCTCACAGAATCTGCACTCACTATCCTCTACTACTCTCAGTTTACTTAGTGTCCTTTTAGGCGGCAATGCCCGGTAAGGATCCCTGTTACAATACGTAGCCTGTTCTTGCTCAGGCTTCCGATCTTCTCTGGTTATATTTTATTATTTAAGCTAAAAATAAGTTTGTTACGTTCACTAATAAAACATTGCAATATACCAAGTTTTATACATTTATTTGTAGGCAAAATGGGTGCTTAAATTTTTTTGAAAAAACGTCTTATGCTAACAAAATTTATGACAGTGCAACGTATAGGTTGCTGAAAAAACGAAAAATGCAATAGATTTTTGAATTTTACTATAAAACAAAAACTTTAACGTTGCATAACTCCATTTCTCTTTTTTGTCACTTGTACCCTTTTGCTTCTTACCTCTTCGTATGTAATATTATCTAATTAGAGAATTTCCTGAAAGTAATATGGATTTCCTCGACGGTAGGGTATATAAATAATGTTTTACCTGCAGCAATATCGGGTCTTACTGTCTTCTTTGTTATTCTACGAAAGTAAGACAAAACTTTGTATTTTGTGTCGGATTCAAAATTGAAAAAATTATAATAATCCCAGTTAGATATTTGGATAGAGTTCGATAATCTAATAATTTTTCTAAACTTTCGCTGGATGAAAAACGTCATATTAAGTTTTTAGGAAGGGCTACTCCCGATTTAAAACTCATATAGGGTCATGGCACTACTTATGGCCACATTAAGGCAAAAATGCTTTTGTGAGGTCTATTTTTCAATAATATGGTAACAGAAAAAAATAAATATTATTTGATAGGTTGAAGTATGTAGTTTCAACAGTATATGGATCTATTTGGTTAAAAGCATGTAAGTCTTTTTTTACATTTTTTTTTTATGAAAGTGAAAGAAATTCTTTACTTTTGGCCATCAGTCCGCTATGGCCACTAATTTTTAAGTTGCATTTTTAAATACTAATTTAAGTGCATATTTTAATTTACATGTATGTACTTACTAAAGATTTCGAATAGGTAGGGTACAAAAAATTTTGTTAAAATATGAAATTCATTTTTCATGAACATTAACACTTCCTGAAAATGTTATAACCAATTTTCAACCTTGTTCTACCAAAGAATGCTAGGTTAACAGTCCTCAAACATCAAATATGAGAACACTGAAACTCTCATTTTTAATATACTGCCTTCCTAAGCCAAAATGCGGTATCTCAAAAACAAAACAAATTTTTTAACGAATCGGAAATCTTGATAAATACTGCACCAGTTAAACTAAGAAAAATAGCAAAATCTCAATCAGAACATTAAAAAGAAACCTAAGACAAATTTACATAGGTACTTACTTCACTTATATTTACTCAAAGGCTTAGGCATATGCCATTATTACTAAGCTAAATGACTGCATCCATTTATGGCTCAAGAATTTCAAAATTAATATTCAAAATCAAGAAATAATTTAAAATAATCTAGCGGTACCTAAATAATTTTTTTTTTCGACTCGAGTGAACATATGAAGACAACTTTTAGAAAATGCATATTTTCTCTAACTCGCTTCAACTGAGATACCGCGTTTTGGCTTAGAAGGGCAGTATATTCAAAAGTAGTTTTTTTCTTTGTTTGTGCTTTTTAAATGCTGGATTTCTATTTCATTTTCCATAGTTTGACGCACAGTTGCAACATATTTATACATGGTCGATCTTCTTTTACCACAGGCACTAAATAGTACCAATATAAAATCGCCAGTTTTTAATGTTTTGTCTAACTGCATACATAACCACTGCAGGAGTGCGTTTAGAAACCCCGCACGGCGCGTCTCACCACATACATTAGAATAGGGCACAGACGCGCCGTGCGTGGTTTCTAAACGCACTCCTGATTCTATAAATGAGAATCTGCCACTGCTGTCAGATGTCAGTGACATTTCATCTTATTTATTAGCTATAAAACTCAATTGCTATCTACCCCTCAACCCACACAATAACTGCAGTGGCCATAAATCAAATACAAGATTTTACTTTTGGCCACCCATGTGACTATAACTCACGAATTGTTAATTTTTAGTCATTACTAATGGCCATCCTGATATTTATTTTTATTTAAAAAACTATATATGATGTCGAAAACAAAATACATGGGTATTAACATCTACTTACCTATGGAATTGCAAATTTTCAAAAATATACTTAATAGATCTGATTTTTGTTGTTTGCAAATAAATTCTTAGGCAAAACTAAAAGTAATGCTTGCATGTATTACCCATGCTAACTATCTATTTTACTGATTACCAATGGACTTGGTTTATTACAGTATGTTCGCTATACTTATGCAGATTTCGGATTAACAAAATTATGCAAATTAGTCATTGACAACCAGTTCCGATAAGTCTCATCCCAAGAAAATAGGTAAAATTGCCCTAATGGTCAGATTTAAATTAAAATAACATTAGGGTAGGTACTAAATTTGTTACAAATATTGCAGTTGAATTGATTCTTTGCAAGTGTTGACATTGTATGTATATTGTAAATTTAATGGAAATTTTAAAAATGCCTAGACGTGTGTTGGATGTAGATATTTTAATTTTTAGTGTACCTAAGTATTTTACGGATGAAAAAGAAAATGACGGTCCTTTAAAATCGGTAATGTCTGTTCAACAACGCGTATGCGATGCTCTAGGAATTAGTGAAACCAAATTAAAAGGAGTATTACAAAATCACAATAGTGAACTGCCGAAAGATCATCGCAAAACTCGGCCATCATTGAAAACTGAAGATATTCCAGATAGAAAGAAATTTGAAATTCGTGATACCATTTATCGAATGAGGGCCAACAAGGAACATGTGACCTTAAATACAATTCTCTCGGAATTAATAGATATAAAATTTGACGACATTGGCAGAACAAGTCTATGGCAAGTGATATATAACTTGGGTTTCAAATTTCAAAAGGAGGATAACAGAAAGGCCCTTTGTGAAAGCAGTTCTGTCGTGCACAAGAGAATTAACTTTCTAAGAAAATATTCTAAATTTAAAGAAGAAGGGGCGAATTTTATATATTTAGACGAAACATGGATATTTTCTAGGGGTGCAACCAAGAGAATATGGCAAGATGATAACGTAAAGTCCATCAAACATACCGATGGAGAAGGGAAGCGACACATAATTTTACATGCAGGAGGGAAATCGGGTTTTATAGAAGGTGCTGATTTAATATTTTCATCTAAATCAATATCCAGTGACTATCACGATAATATGAACACAGAAATGTTTGTAAGATGGTTGCATGAAAAACTTCTCCCAGGTTTAAGTGAGCCCAGCGTAATTATTTTAGACAATGCACCTTACCATTCTGAAGTATTAAACAAAATTCTTGGACAGTTGATAAAATTAAAGAATGGTTGACAAAGGAACATATACCATTTCCTCAATATATATTAAAATCAGAATTATTACGCTTGGCAAATATACACGCAAAACCAAAAACCTTTGTTGTGGATCAGATTATTGAAAGTTACGGTCATCAAGTTTTACGTCTGCCACCGTATCATTGCCAGTTTAATCCCATCGAATATATATGGGGAATAGCAAAACAATATTATGACAACCATATTGGGCCTAATGGTTATAGTGACGACGCAGTTCGGGAAACTTGGCGAAAAGCACTTTCAATTGCAACTCCAGATGTGTGGCGGAACTGTATATCCAAGTGCGAGAAACTAATAGAAGATTGGTGGACTCGTGAAAATAAAATAAACGAAATAAGTCCAATCATAATAATAATTAATGGTGATGACAGTGATGATGATGACGATTATGATATTTTAGATGATAATGACTGATTTTCATTTTTGTTGGCAAGTTCAATTTTTTTATTAGAAAATATTTTATTTGATATAAATAACCCTCTTATTATATATAGACCATATTTTCTGTATGAAGTGTAATATAAAATTTATTAGGTTTATAATAGCCACATTAGACTCCATTAATGAAGAAGTTTAATTCTGCTCTCAATTATACAAAAGATTCTCCATTATTATTTAATTAAAAAGTTGTACATTCTTTTTCATTTCATTTAACCAGTTGATATTTCCCCAAAGAACAGGTCAAACTTTCGGGTACTTACCTGGAAATACTCATAAAATTTTTAATCCGAAACCCGCGTAAGTATAGCGAACAGACTGTAGTTGCAAACCTGCCCAATGATGTAACCACATGCTCATTTACCTCCTCTAACCACCATTTTTGTTTATATTGTTGCTAAACCTTTATTTTTATTAAAGCAAGAGGTGGCCATAAGTAGTGCCATGACCCTACAAGACGATTTTCAAGGCAAGTGAATACTAAAAATGACTAGATGTATTTTAACTAATTAGACAAGTGTTTTAACGAATTAAAAGATAATTCTGACAAAACTATTACTTGTAGGTACAAGGTGGTGGAACACTTTTGGGATGGTGTAAGACAGAAGACTGTAGTGCTTTGTTAAGTTTTGATAAGCCACTCTAGAGCGTCCTGAAAAGAGGTATGTCTTGTCGTTGAAAGCCACGCCCCCTTGGTTTGCACTGCTTTCATTTCGCGAGAGCCATGGACCGAACAGATGGCAGTATTTAAAAACTGCGTTATGCCGGAATAAATACACTTTATGTTTTGTAATTTTAATCAAAGTTACCCGTTTTGCTACATTTATAATTTTCTTTGAAAACCGATTATATCTAGACGGGTTTGAATTCCTATCAAGATGTTTTATGGTTTTTATACCTAGAAGTTTGTTTTGGTTTTGGTACAATCTGAAGGCCGTGGTTTAATTCATCTCTAGAAGATCTAGACAGTTTCGAGTTTAAGTTAGAATACCAAATATCACGAGATCATTCACGTTGCAGAATTACGAATAAGGATCCCGAATCCCTTTGAAGAAGTTGCCTGAGGATATACCATGCGATAAAACATTCCTTATATTACCTCCTTTTAACAAAAGATAAGTGCTATTGAATAAATCATCTTAAATTTGAAAAAAAAAAAATGTATAGAAATATATTTATAATTTTTTCTTGCTATTTCAATCTTACTGCAGTGATTTATTCAATGTCTTTACCTACTTTTTATTAAATTTAGTAAATTAAATTTTACATTTTCTTTAGATTTTGAATTTCTTTCCTTTATAATTAATTCTTTATTATGACTATTTAACTGAAACATTTATTAGGAATTTTTTCTCTTGATTGGTAGTAAATCTATATATTGTTATTGAACTTGAGTAATATTTTAATTTGTTTACCTTTTCCTTAAATTCAATCTTAAAATACCTAAGTTGACTTTGAACTATATTATCTAGCATTTCGTGTTTTTCTTTATATGGTTAAGTACCTCACTATTGCATAGCTAACTGATTCCGAACCAACTTTAAATTTTATTTTAATACAAGTAGTAAAAGTTTGTATATCTTTATTCTTTTTTCAATTATAACTTGAGAATTTATGCTTTTAGCAATATTATTAGATACCTCTGTTTTCACTTTATATTGAAAATAATTTAGTTGAGTATTGCAAAATTTTATATTTGGGTTAACTTTAGGTTAACAGATAACTTGCATTACTATATTTTTTTTACCTAACTTTTCTACTTTGCTGATTTACACTGAGAAAAGTGACAGCATTACGAACATATTTCGTATACCTTATCTGTACTCACTAATGTGTGTACATTATTTATCTTGATTTTCATAATTTATCTTCTATAATATTATTATATATCTTTATTCCCTAGTTAAGTGAATGTGCTATTTATCGTTTAATAATATTATTTGTACCTTTAGTACATGATGTACTATGTTTTTTGAATATCAAGATATTTACCTTTGATTTGAAATGTTCACCGTTACTTAGTTATGATATATGCAAATATAGTTCAATGATCATTCTTTCTGGTTTACCTTACCTACATTTATTTACCTTTATCTTATCTTTCCCTGATTATGACATGTGTATGGTATAAGAGTGCAGATTTAAATTTAAAATCCATTTTTCATTTTAATCAAAATTTTTTTAAACAAGCACTTAAAAACTAAAGTAGTAAATCTACCTGGTTTAAGTTGTAAATCTTTAGTCTTTAAGGGCTACAGTCAAAATTTCAAGTGTTTTCTAAAAAAAATTTAGTATTAAGTCTTAGCTTGTAAGTTTATCAACCCCTTCCTATTTTGGGAGCATCATTAAATAACTAAATATGTGTCTCAATTCCCTTTATTTTATGTATTAAAATTTTCAGTTTGTTTTTCTCTTTTTTTGTTACACGTGAATACTTAGTAATCTGAGTATTTACTATTCTCTACCTTACCTTCATCTTATATATGTATGGTTTATGCCAGTACATTTTTTTTTAGTTTATTAATTTAACTTTAATTTCAACTTTATCTTACCGATGCATGATCGCAAACAAAATTCCTAATAAATGTTTCAGTTAAATAGTCCTAATAAAGAATTAATTATAAAGAGAAAAAATTCAAAATCTAAAGAAAATGTAGAATTTAATAAATCACTGCACTAAGATTTAAATAGCAAGAAAAAAATTATAAATATATTTCTATACAAAGGTCAGATGGAAAACATTTTAGTACTCAGAAAATGCTAGAAAATTAAAATTGCAAGATAAAAGCTATCGATTCGAACAAAAACTATTGTAAAGTGTATTTATTCAGGTATAATGCCATCAGGAAGACACTGTATTGGACCAACATACCAATTTGTATCTTTATTCTAATTTTTCATAAGTAACCCCTGTTCTAAACCATTCACTGCTTGGGCTATAACTCAAAATTCTCTTTATTTTTGTAAAACATCGTCAGACTTATGCAAAATTTTTGGTACTCATTATTAGAAAACCACCTTAAGTGAAAAATAAAATAACCTTACATATTACCCTGTGTTGATATATAGAATGTTCTGAAATTAAAATCAATCCAAAAATTATTATAATTTAACTAGTTTTAAAAAATAAAAAGTAAAACAACTATCCAGATTATAATAAACGAATGGAAAACAATTTTTGGCTTTAAGACATCTTTTAAACCGAAATTATAAGAATTGCCTCTTGATATGCAATAAAACCTTTAACAAAACTTAACATTAATATTCTTAAAACAAACCTCGACGAAATACGAAGTGTTCCTACCAAAAATTATCCTTAAGAAAAAAAAAATAAACTGTTTTAATATCTACTGACCTGAGCAAGATAACATCAAAATATGTATTATGGTCACTTCTAGAAAGCATATTTAAACTGAATTATTACCACAAAAAATAGTTAAAGGTTAAATATTAGCATCCAGTTCTGAAGAGTCCATTAAAATTAAGAACCTGATTAGTCATTCAGACAAAAAATATTTTCAATCCCTAACGATTATCAAGTCTATACATTTTAATGAACGTTCTTGCAACCGGCTGTAATAAGTCTATAAAATTATCGGCCGATTTATTTGTCTTCTGTGGAATACATATAACTTTTAGTTGGAACACTTATTTTTAACATCGCATATATTGTCAGATACAAATTAATACGTTTAGACATTGCAGAGACAGTACAAAATATATTATTTGAAAGAAGACATCAGAAATTCCTTATTTTGTGAATGCATCAACCTGGTCTAAACGCATCCTTGTAAAAACTAAACAGATCCACTCACACAAAAACGAGAGTTAGTTGAAAATACACCATTGTTGTACCTGCAGTTAAAAATATACTGGAAAATAATATACTATCTACTAGTACTAGAATATGTACATAAAATATATAAGACCTAATTTTTAAGTTAAATAGAAACAAATTTTGTACTCTTCCTACTTTTTTTTACCAACAAGTAAGTGCATTACAAATAGATCAAAATATTCACATGTAAAAATGTATTTATAATTTTTGTAAAAAAGCTTGTTAGTCAATTGGCGAAAAACGGCTTTACCAAGCGAGAAAATATCACTTTTGTTGTTCAAATAAAAAAAAAAAACCTTACTTAATATTAATCAGAATCATAAAAATGAAGAAAAAAATGGCCACCGAAGAAATTGGCAATATCACACGCCTAACATCAGAACTGCTAGTATAAATATCTTTTAAAAGTTGTTTCTTGTAAAAAATGAAACACATGATCCTTCGAGCCGCAAATTGATGTATAAAATCGAAATTAAATCATAAATAATTAGAGTAGTCAAATTTGGAACAACAATTTTAAATTTTAGAAGTGTTTCGATTATAAAGACGAAATGTAAGATATGGATCAAATGTAAACATTTTAATAGCAGCACCGAGCACAACTGCTTAGTAAATTACCTTTAAAAACCGCTATATTCTTTTTATAAAAAAGAAAACATTTTACTAGAACAAACAAACCTCATTGGAACTTGTAATGCACCAATTTTTAAACCGAACTAGAGTTATTACATTGCGTCAGGATGTGACACCTCTGCTCCAGCCTTTGTACACTGGCGATGAGGTAAGAGTTTTCAACGTAAAGGTCCTTAACCAACATATCAGTCTTTTCCAATTTGTCTAATTGTTCTCTGCTAATGCGGACCTGTTGGTCAAGCTTCTCTTGTAGATATTTTAGTTTGGTGTGGAGATCGACGCGTTCGCCATTAAACTGATGCCAAAAACCTGAAAATTAAATTTATAAAATATGATAAGGTGAAAACTGAAAACATAATGGCGGTAAATTTAAATATCAAGCTTTTGTGGAGCATCAAAACTTGGATTATTGTTAAACATTTCTGCAACAGTCACGAAATTTAGGCTCTTCTATTTAATCTTAAATAAGAAATTTACGTTCTGCTAAAATAAAGTCAAAAAAATAATAGTAGTTTGTGCAACAAGAGCACGACGCCGTAGGCGGAGTGCTCAATCGTCTGAGTACGATGTGAACAATCCACTCAAGTTGTACAGTATATTTTTTCTACGACCCACTAACGAAAATCTACAAATATTAAAAAATATTTTAGGTTAATAAGATAAAATAATTAATTTATCAATTTTCTCCATCCGAGATTCGAACTCGAGTCTTTCGTATGAAAGGCACAGGACCATCTACGCGTTTATTTTTTTTTGCTTTAATAAATCTCAATAATCGAGTGGATTGTCCACATCGCACTCAGACGATTGAGCACTCCGCCTACGGCGTAGTGCTCAAATTTCTTCTTCATGCGATATGGCCATCATATTCACTCTTGTTGCACAAACTACTGTTTTTTTTTTCAAGAGGTCGAAAACCATCTATATACATCCAGTATATCGTCAATATCATAATTAACTTTTGGCACCAACAAGCAGCTCGTTGCGATACTACTGAGCATGCGCATTGAGTCGTTTTCAGCCGATGTTGCGTCATTAAAAAGTGCCGGATTTATTTCCAATTATTTTTTGCTCGAGTTTTGATTTTCGCAAACATACATTACATTCAGTGTTGGTCTCACAGATAATTCTAATCAGAGTCGTAAAACACAGATATAGATATATAAAGATATTTAATAGTTATTTAACAACCTAGTATATTAATCGCTTTTTAATATAATAGTCCGTTTCAAGATTTTTTCGGCGACCGAATCTCTATTAAAATTAAAAATATCAAGCTTCAAATTTCCTACAAATTTAAATTTTTGATTTCACAGTGTAATTTGCTCAGCGGTTGAAAACTGAACGCGTCTCCGGGTGGTGGATAGGAGAACCGCCAGAATTTCCCTGGTTAGTGGTAGACGTAAGTAGAGTTAGAGAGCCTAAAAACCCTTAAACTCTTTCGTGAATACTACCGCCGCGAAACAACTCTCTCAAACTAAGGTGTAAGGTAACGTGCTGACGGATGAATTGTCCCAGGGACAGAAGGGGCAGAAAACGTTCCCTTGAGGGTACTTGGCAACACCCTCTTGTATCTAACCTTGCCGGCGCATGCAGGGCTCTGCGTCGGTCGACATGTCCTTCCTTAGCTACTCGTGGGAACCATATGAATAAAACACATGAAGAAAAACCCAAGAAGGCTGGACATCAACGCTCACCTCCAGCAAAGGAGGCTGGACAAGATTCAACTCCCGCGCAGGGGGCTAGAGAGCAACGCTGACCTCAAAAAAAAGGAGGTTGGACACTGTAGTTCACCTCCATCTCACAGGCCCCAGAAAGGCAAGACGATCTCTGGTCTGAAGCAAAGAAGAGAGAGGGATAAGCTGTAAGCAGGTAGAGCTACGGTAACCGCCACCCTCAGCAAACGCTATCACTCCAAAACAAACAAAAGAGGCTTAATCGAGTCCTTAGACAGCGATGCTAGTTTGCCTCCACAAGAGGTAAGGAATACGACACAACTAGGGATAAGAAAATGCCGCGATCTGGCACCTCTTCCGAGGTAACGCCTCAGAAAGAGAAAAACCGAGACAGGGCCACAAAGTTCTATCTGGAAAAACTACAAGGATGCAAGTTCAAGCCACTTGAAAGTAGCTATAATAGACAAGAATGAACCTTACGGTAAGATAACTACCAAAAGGGGATATCCTTTTCAAAAAAACACTGATGGGAGAGCTGGACAAAACAATTGTGTCCGTCTCCTGCAACAAAACCAACATTCAGGTATTCGACGCACTCTGGGGTAATCATCAGAGTAAAGTGCGACGATAACCTGACGATGGAATGGCTAAAAACCAATGTACCAACATTAAAAACATGGGAAGCAGCAACACTCGCTGCTGTAAGGGTGGACGAGCTCCCCAAGCTCACCAAAGCTTCTCTCTGGATCCCAGAAGAAGCGCAAGAGAGTCAAGTATCCTTGTCTTGTATCTTGCATCTCTAAGTCCGCCAGATCTGCAAAGTTGCAGACGTGGTGCATTTTCTGTAATCTCACCCTAAGATTCATAAAACCCATGAAGAAGGCAAAAATTAAATTAAAGGCTAGTATAATCCCAACTAAACTTGACTGCCAAATTAATAAAACTTCAAAACCAAGAGGTTTCACACCCTTTATCTCGGATCTGAAAAAGTTCTTATTTTTATTAAAAAATTTCATAATTACTTGTTTAATGACCTTCAAACGCGTGTAAACGAGGTAAATCCTGAGTGTTTTGATCGAATTTTGAGGTTTTTTATTTATTTATTTATTTATTCACGGGTAACCCCATTAAAAAAAAATACAATATTAATTAGAATAAAAACAGCAAAATAAATACTTAACAAAATACTAAACTAATACTAATATAGGTAATATAAAATACTATACAAAATATAAAATATAACGGCATCAAATAACAATTATAAAATCAGTTAGAAAATGAAGACAAAAAAATGTTAGACTTCCATATTATTTAAATAAGTCCTGAGAGCATTAATAGTTCCAAAAATATCACAATTTTTACATTTCAACTTATTACATTCACGTAACATTCGACTTACTGGTGAATTAAAGGCATAATTAGTGGTATATTAAATAAGTCGAATTGTCTAGTCCTACTAAAGGTATTAAAATTTTGAAGTGTTAAACTACGGAAACTGCTCAGTGCATACCTAATACTAGTGAGAATCTTGTAAAAGGTAAATTTTAAGATAAAATCTATATTAAAGACTAATACTTTGTAAAAATAATAAACTGCTTGGTAATTACTATCGGCATATTCAAAATAGTCTGTAGGCCATGCCAACTGGTGCTAACACACGAGGTGCATCCCAACAGAAGATGGATGAAAGAGCCATGGAAGAAATGATAGGTAAAATTTGCCAGAAATTCTTAGATAAGATCGAAGAACAGTTTGAGAAGAAATTTGAAATAATTGAGGCAAAGCTAGACAGTTTCTGTGAAAAGATGAGTAAACTTGATAAAACAGTTGCCGTAAATATCCAAGTAATAGCGAAAAATAAAAATAAATTGGATGAACTAGAACAAAATCAGAGAAGAAATAATTTAAGATTTACCGGGGTAAACGAAAACGAAAATGAAAATTTACTAGCCATTATGATTAACCTGATAAACAACAGTCTGAAAGTAAAGTGTACGTCATTAGAAATTTCTAACATTTTTCGAATCGGGAAAGATATTGGTGAAACAAAACCGCGAACAATTATCGTAGAATTTCTGACTTGCATTAAAAGGAACGAAGTCTTTAACGCAAGAAAACACCTTAAAGGCACCGGAATCTTCATTAATGAAGACTTGATACAATCAAGATACAAACTATTTATGTTGTCAAGAAAAAAATATGGATCCAAAGATGTCTGGATAAGAGGGGACTAGTATACATTAAACATAAAAATGAAAACGTCTGTATTAAAAGTGAACAGCAATTATTTAATTTAACGAACTAGTACGCCCACGGACTAATATTTATAATGTACTATAAATTTCACTTTGTGGGTTTTCAATACCTCATACGTAGTTTTTGTTTTTGTTTTAGTTTTTTTGCTTCATACTGATAACTAACACTATAATTAAATTAAAATAATTATTTTAAATTTTGGAATGGAATTGAATACATTGAATACAGGGTCCAATTTATAATAGAAAATATTTTATTGATTTTATTTTAAAAATATGAAAAATTTGGATGTTTGATTTTATTTTTTAGGAATTAATATTATTTATTTACTAGAGCTCAGGGGCCCATAAATCCAATGGGAGCACTAACTTTATATTATCAAAATGCTAGGGGATTGAATTCAAAACTTGTTGATTTTTTTAGAAATTCTTGTGATCAAGAGTATGATGCTATTCTGGTGTCAGAAACGTGGCTAGGAGAAGGAGTATCGGATGGGGAAATTGTTGATCTGAATAAATATGCTATAGTAAGAGCCGAAAGAAACAAAGAACTGACAAATAAGGTAAAAGGCGGAGGGGTATTAATCGCGATAAACAAAAGATTTAAAATTTAAACATTACGACAGTTAGTTCCTTTTTTGATGCAGTAGTAATTCAAATGAGATTCAAAAATAATTTAAAAATCATGTTAGCGTGTGTGTATATATACCTCCAAGTAGTCCTAATGCCGTTTTAGAATCATGTGTCAATTTTTTGCAAGATACTATTGTTCCAGATTTAAAGCATACTTATATTTGTGGTGACTTTAATATTTCAGATGTAAGGGGAGCGGGTACACTATTTGCTAATAATAGAAATACAAAAATGTCTTTGTTAGAAGATTTCTTAAATTTTAATTCTTTTGTTTTGTTTAATAATGTAAGTAACTTTCAAGGTAAAACTCTAGATCTGGTAATATCTTATGAGAAAAATGTGTGTAATGTAAACCGAGTGGAAGATCCATTAACTAATGAGGATATGTACCATCCTCCTTTGGAAATGTATACTGAGATATCACAAATCATGAAAAACAGCTATTTAAATAATGAAGTAAAATTCAGATATAACTTTAAAAAAGCGGATTTTAAACTTATGTGTGAATTGATTAGAGATACGAATTGGAGAGAGGTTTATAAAGAGCAAGATGTTAACAGCTCTTTGCAAAACTTTTATGCCATTTTGGATATTTTTATATTGTGTGTACCTAACTTTAAATTTTATAACAATTACAATAAATATCCTATTTGGTACAACAAGACCATTAAAGACTTAATAAAGGAAAAAATAATCTGAAAAAAATTAAACATATTTCAACTTATTATTTAGAACAATAATGTCAAACAAGGAAGACATTAAAATCACTGTTAAAAATCGAACATAAAAATTACATTAAATCAATAGAAAATTCGTTGACAACAGATATTAATAAATTCTGGAATTATGTTGGGAATAAAAGGGCTCAAAGTGGAAATAACGCAAATTTTACTTTTGATGGGACCGAAATACAATCACAAGATACTGCGCAATGTTTTGCTGATTTTTTTGCTAGCGTATACTCTCAAATTCCATCCAGTTATAATGTTAATTTTAATAGTTACCAAAATTTGAACAATGATACGTTCTCTATTAATTCTATAAATGATTCAGACTTTTAGGCAGCTATAAAAAAATTGAAACCGAAGAAGTCAGCAGGCGTTGACGGAATACCATCATATGTAGTGAAAGGTTGCCATGAGTGGCTAAAAAGGCCGTTACTACATATATTTAATTTAATTTTAAGTACTGCTGCTTTTCCAACTTTGTGGAAAACTTCAATTTGCACTCCTATTTACAAATCAGGTAATAAAAGTGACATTCGAAATTATAGACCTATCTCAATAATGTGCGCATTTTCAAAACTTTTTGAACAAATAATATTCATTTGTTGAAAGCTCAGAAAACTAGCAACAACATGGATTTATGTCTAAGCGATCAATTAATACCAATTTATTGTCATTTAGTCATTGTGCGAATGAAACTTTAGAAAATAAACTTCAACTTGACATAATATACACGGACTTTAGTAAAGCCTTTGATCGTGTGAATCACGATGTTTTGTTGGAAAAAATTTATGAATTATTTAAAAAACAGATATTTTCAAGTTAGATATGATGGGAACACGTCGGGAAAATTTCACGCTGCTTCAGGCGTACCTCAGGGTTCAAATTTGGGTCCCCTGTTTTTCCTATTATTTGTTAATGACATTACGAAATGTATTAAATTTTCTAAATGCTTATTATTTGCAGATGACCTCAAAATATATAAACAAATACAAACAGTCCGTGACTGTGTGGCTCTTCAAAAGGACTTAGATAATGTTTATGATTGAAGTGTAAAATTTAAATTAAATTTTAATATAAAAAAATGTTGTGTCATGACTATGACCAGACAGAAAGTCTCAGTCTTATTTGACTATCAAATGATGGACAAATCTTTAGAAATGGTTCACGAGTTCAAAGATTTAGGTGTAACTTATAATAATAAATTTTCGTTTCAAAAACACATTGATAATACAGTTAAATCTGCTAATCGAGTTCTTGGATTCGTAATGAGACAAACATATCCTTTTTCTAATATAAATTTAATTAAACTTTTATATTTTACATTGGTAAGACCTAAACTAGAATTTGCTTCAATTATGTGGACAGGAGAATGTCAAACATCTCTACAGGAACTTGAGAAAGTACAAAACAAATTCTTAAGGCATCTTTATTACAGAAAATATAATAAAAGAGCGGATTATAACTCTGTAAGAACTACACGACTTCGTACTGAATTTAATATAGTGTCATTAGAGAGTAGGCGTAAAGTTACATCTTTATTAATTTTACATAAAATCTTAAAAAATACTGTAAATTCCTTTGAGTTGCTATCTTTAATCACATTTAATGTACCATCACGAGTAACACGTAATATGCCAATGTTTAATATACCATTTGTCAGTTCTACTTACCGTGCTCCTCTCCTAGAAATGCTTCGCTTAGGAAACAATATTAGTTATATATTGAATATCGACTGGAACCTTCCTTATAAATTTAAAAATGTAATTGTGAAATACATATATAACTTGTCTGTATAACAACAAAATAAAATAATGTAAAAATAATACATATCACCATCTTATTTATGAAAGTAATGGCTCTAAACGAAAAATTTATTTCCTAAATTTGTTAAAATATTTTTATTTTTAGAAGTGTCATTTTTTGTTTTGAATAACATAGTCCATATTAGTTGGTTAAACATTGTACTTTGAATTGTTATCCCCTTTAGTTTAGTTTAAGTTAGTTTGGATAATGTAAATTTAGTTTTAGTTACTAATTAAGAATTAAAATTGTACAACTTATGTATTATATAATTTGTAAAATAAATATCCTTGTAATAAGGCCAGTAGGCCTGGTTAGGTAGAATAAATAAATAAATAAATAATCACGCAAATATCAATTTCCGGTAAATTTCCTTTTTTTTTCAAGTTCTTGTCTTAATCAATACTATAAGTTGACTACACGCCGAATTTCAACGAGAGACAATAGCGGCAGGCAAGACGTCACGAATTATAAACGTGTAAAAAAGAGGATCTATAGGCGCCTTTTTATCAAAAACTAATTTTATTATCGTTCTAATTTTTTTTTGAAAATATTTATGAAAATGCATTTTTTGGCCGTATTTACGTTAATTAAAATGTTTCAAAATAAGCTCATTAAAACAGACTTATAATTATTATAATACAAAGGAATTCTAAAGATTACTTACGTTGAAGCGTCTGCTCGTTACAAAACTTCTGCTGTTGAAGACAAATCTGTAAATGCCGCACCCTCTGCTCCAAAAAGTTCCTCCTGGCGTTTAAATTGTGGAATGACCTCAGTGGCAAAATGACCTTCTGTTCTGCTCCGCAGTTCGCGCTCACGCTTTGGACACTATTATTCTCCGATCGCGAATCAGTATCGTGATGTTTATTACAACTATCCTGACTGTTCTTCTTGTATATGTTCTTGTTATACTTCTTCGTCCTTTTCGGCCTACAAGGTGTGCCCGGGATGGAATGTTGGTCCAAACTGGTCGTGCTACAAGAGGTGGACGGAGCGGTAGAATCCGTTCTTGAATTGTACAAATTGAAGTTAACAGGAAGCGATTTTGAATTCTCAAAATCGTCGTTTCTGATTTGTTGGTTCCACACTAACGATTGGTTTACGTATTCTAGATTGTTTTGAGATGTATTCAGCGTAATTTGCGGTACAGTTGAGACCATTTCAACGGGGTATCGACTGGTATTTTCTACTATGTAACTGGATAAGTTTTGCATCTTTCTGATTATCCTTTCTTCTTCTGTGTCAGTTTCGACTTGTATAGATGCATCGTGTTGCTGCTTCAACGCCAATTCCGTCAATTTTTCTTTGAGTATACGTATTTCTTCGTCCTTTTGAAACAACGTGATTTCACTCTCTTCCTTGTACATTTCGAATTCCTCTTCCAGATCGGTGAATTGCTTTTCTAAATTATAAGTTTCTTCAATAGTAGGTAGTCTATTATCAACCATGTCTTTATCAGCGTACTGGTCTTCATATTCCTGCATTTTTAGTATAAGTTCTGTTAGTTTGTCGCTGTTTATCTTCTGTTCGGCTTCGTACATTTGACGTTCCTCGTCGACCTTGTTCTGCCAGTAGTCTTCGCATTTTTCGTATTCGTTCCTCAACAATTCCACGCAATTTTCTAATTCGGTGCACTTGACGCACAAATCTTTATTTTCGTTTTCTAATTTATTAACTCTTTCTTCGAATTCGTTAACGAAGTCGGTTTGGGAGCTGGTTGAGGCGGAAGCTTTATCGGAAAATTCGAATTCGAAGGGGGAATTCCCTTTGTTTCCGAGAAAAGTCTGTTCCAATTTTTCACTAACCATTTTTAGATTATCACAGTTCACGTTGTCGTTTTCTATCAGCATTTTCATCGTTTCTTTTACGTCCCTGATGAGTTTTTCTAAATCTTGGACTCTGGTGCTTAGGTAGTCGGGGTTCGTACTCCAGTTCGTTCCCAAGCCCTATAAAAAAACATTGTTTAGAAAAGATAATGAAAGTAGTACAGCAGAGTTTATAGCTTAAAAGAATCAGTTCGCTCACTCGGACCAATTCGATGTTCCAAAATAACATCTACTCCAGGGATACAAATTCAGGATGCGCAGAAGACTGCTGTTTGAATATAGGTGGTTGTCATAATATATTGTATTAGGCATTCCAAACAAATGAACTGTCAGTGGGAAGATTTGATATATCCAAGGGTTGCGACATACAATGTTTTCTGTTTACAATACGTAAAATCATGAATAATGGATTACATTTAAATATTTTATGTCAAACACAATAAAAATAAGATACATTTTTTCATAAATTGGCAGGCTTTGTGACTATTATTTCGAATAAAAAAAAAACGTTCAAGATGCAAGACTATGTCTCTACCCCCTTAGATATACCAAACCTTCTCACTGACAACTATTGTTAATAGTAAGAGAGCCCACTGCAAATTACGACCGCCATCTGATAACAAAATGAAATATGGTCCAAAGACATGTAACAACATTGTACTTTACCAAATTGCTCCTGTGCTAATATGTAATCTACAGCAAAGTGGTTAAAAAAAATTATTTTATATACAAAAAATTACATGAGACATGACAGCGATAATTGTGTTTTCTCTGAAAATGACAATCCTAATTCATTGTGAACCTAGCTTTTAAACCTGAATTATTAATATTTTTACCTAACTTTGGCAGAGATAGTCAATAATAATTATAAACTCTTGTTAGACAATTCTTTTAAACTATAATCATAGTAGTTTTTTGTCGTTTCTATGACAACCTGTAAAAATGAATCGCAACAATTAGGCATTCCAAACTGAATGGCTACCAGTGGGTTTTGACGGGTTATGATATGGCAAAATTATTGCAACCCTGTAGGCCTGGTGATTTGACAAGGTCAATGAAATAGATAGTTACATAGATTGATCATCCATATTTTTCAAAATAAACATAAGTTTATGCCTTGAAGTAAAAATGTAAGCAATTTTTTTTTTAAATATCTAAAGGCTAAAATTTGGTTTTAAAACACATTTTTGCTAAACCGATTGAAATTAATAAATATTTGTCAGGCAATATGGCCGCTCGTAAACGACCAACTTTGAGCAATCTATATAATTATATATGTATCATTGACCCTGTTAATGACAACATGACAACAGGGTTGCCATATCTAAGCTGTCATTACCCACTGGTAGCCATTTGGACAGGTCGTTGGAATGCCTAATAGGCATACAAATAAATTCTTAAATCAGCAAAAATTGATTCATATTTTTAATGATTTTTACCTACTAATCGTGTGTAGATGTTTTTGTGCGATGTTAAGAGGAAGAAAATGTTTCCCGTTAACGATATATATCAAGATATATTTGAATCTGGAAAACTTTAAGGGCAAACAAAATTAGCGCTGTCATGCCTTATGTGATTTTTTTATTATAAAATATTTTTTTTAAACACTTTGCTCAGGATTGGGATTGTCACAGGTGCCATTCGGTAAAATACCTACAATGTTTTTACAAGCTTTTAGGGTATATTTTATTTCATTATCAGATGGCAGTAAAAGTTTACAGTGGGCTCTTGGGCTATTATGATTTGATTCCGTATGCGCCAGGGATACAAATCCGAGTTGCGCAATGTATAAACTGGAACATTGAGATCAAAAGTGCCGACGCAGTGTGAGCGAACTGATTCTTTAGCTATAAACTGTGGTAGTACATTAAAATGTGAGGATTGTTATTGGTTGTTTCCATATATATAAGAAAGAGATAGTGTATAAAATGACTAAAAGCTATAATGAATTCGTCATCTCTTCCAAAAGACAAACCTACCTTAAACTGTCACCCGGCATATGTAAATATTATATTTTTTACTTCAAATATCATTCAAGTTCTGGAACGCGTTTCTGGTAGTTAAAACAATCTATGACCGATTTCTGGTACATTTTGTTATTGAAAGAATAACTATCGGTCCGATAAAGTTATGTGTTCAATATATACCTAATAAAGCTTTTCTGAAAACTTATCTGTAGATAACTATCGCTCGATAGTAATCCATCATTTAACTAGGTTTGACATATTGTCACTAAATCGATTTTAATTTAAAGTCGTGTTGTCAGTAGTAATCACATACTTTGATTACTATACGAGGCAAGAGAGAGGTCCGACACGTCCAACATAGGGCGCGGCCATTTTGAACCCTGTGACACAGTTTACAACTAAATAATCAGATCGCTCATTCTGCGTCTGCACTTTTGATCTCAATGTTTCAGTTTATACACTGTGCAACTCGGATAATACAATATATGACAACCGCCTATAATAAAACAGCAGTCTTCTGCGTATCCTGAATTTGTATCCCTGGAGTGGATGTTATTTTGGAACTTTCAACTGGTCCGAGCTAACTGATTCTTTAGCAATAAACTGTGACTTCAAAAATAATATTCACTGACACTGACAGCAGCAAGCAAAATATCAGGTGCGTTTTAATCATCCGCTTCTGCTTCCAGAATTGTCAGTTTAGTCGTTTTAACCTGTCAGATTAAAACAAGAAAACCGACAATTCCGAAGCAGAAGCAGATGATTAAAACGCACCTATTAAAAATATTGCGCCAAGATGTAGGCAACACGTAATAAGGGTTCAAAATGGCGGAGTTTTCTATCTCCTTTTAAAAGGCACTCAGAAAACTGCGCAGTGCGACCATTCTCCGTATAGTAAAAGAAAATCAAAGTATGTGGTAGTAATACTATAAGTACTTCAAAATAATCAGGTTATACATCGATAACTTGTTGCATAATTATAAAGAGTGTCAGTTTGACAGTTTAAATAAATTCTGTCAAACTGACACGAATTGTAATTATGCAGGAAGTTTGAGATGTATAACCGTATTTATTTTGAAGTACGTATTGTATTTGATACGATTATTTTTTGAGTAAATTAAGTAAATATCAACAATTTATTAATTTAAATACATATTGGTACAATGAAAATTACAATTATTAATTATTGATAAACGTCAAAATTTGACGGTCCTGTTAGTTAGTGTATTGTTGTCGATGTGGTTACTACGGAAATGAAATTATTGTAAATATTTTTGATTGGTGGAGCTACTCTATGTATAATCAGGTATTATCGAAATTATACGAGGTAACTTAACTGAATTGAACGTTCTAATTGGTTAAAAGTTATACGAAAAAAATAATCATTTGTATACATTATGAAGACTAGAGATAAGGAGGCGAATCGGCATGCTCAAAATACGGTCCCAAAAATCACACGTCAAATTGAGCTTACATAATTTACCGCATGGGCGCTGGTACGGTTTACGTAGTTCAAAATAAATGGCTTCTTATAGGAATTATACATAATTTTGTCAAAATAATAAAAATAAACTTGTTTATAGCTAAATAAAGCACAGAACATACTGTTGTATTTATTTCTAAATAAGTCTTACATATTTTAATATTACTATTTATTCCTATTTAAGTAAAATGCAAATTGTTGAAATTTGATGGATAGTGCTAATTATTTTTTAATTAAAGCTAAATAAGACTGAGGGCATACTAAGACACGGTTTAAATGAAAATATTTAGTCAGGGATTTTACAAAATGTTATGAAAATAATAAAAATAAAATTGTTTATTGCTAACTAAAGCACATAAAATACTGTTGACTTTAATTATTTTAAATAAGTCTTTTTTTAATTGCTAACTGAAGTACAGAAAATACTGTTGGCATTAATTATAAATGAGTCTTGATGTTAATTATTTAATTTTAATTAAATAAAATGAAAATTAGGTATGACCAAATTTAAAAAGAGTTTGTTAAATGGTGAAATTTGGTAAGAACAGTTTTGTGGTAATTCTGTATTCGACAACTACAATTTCATCATCCTGGTGAATAGTTTCTTCAGCAATAGGTTCTAGTATTTTCTTCCTTTTTTTTATTCTAACAAATTCAGTTCGGTTCAATGGTGGTTTTCATCTTTTCCGAATACTGGACAAGTATGTAGGGAGATTCGGGAATTTACATGGTATTGCTTCGTTCTTTAATCTCGGGCTTTCCCTTTTTATTTTGTTAACAGTACCATTAGTTAAAATAGTCTCATCAAATTTTAAAATATCATCTTCTAAAAAGTGTAGCTCGCAAACAGAATCATAACTAGACAGTACTTTATCAGCCCTAGGAATCACATGCTGTCATTGTTTTAAACGTTTAGGATCCTATAAAAAATATTTGCAATTACTAAATTGGAGTTCAATAAAGAAAAACAGTAGTAACTCTTCATCTAACATAAAAAAAGAAAATTTTCTTTTCTAGTAAGTTAAATTTAATGTGTAATTATTATTGTTTGTAAGTCAGGATTTATGACTTTATTATTTTTTATTACAGAATTTTGTAATTAAATAAACTACACTCCGTTAGATACGGGTTGTGACTATTTTACAATAAATATATATTATTTAGAAATAAATACATTATTTTACTTACACTAGGAGCTTTAAGAAGACTTGGATTTTTATCTCCTTGTGATTTCTTTAATTTAATATCGGATTTATATCCCGTTTTGCAACCCGGAACGAAGCAAATCCTGCTTTAACGTTTTTTGTTACTCATTGTTACTTGTAGTCAGGTTCTTTATTTCAGCTTATTTTTATTCATTTCACTAAATTTTAAAAAATCACTTTAATTCCCATTGACTTGCATAGAAAATAGACGTCGTTATTTTGCCACCCGCCAACTACAGTAGTTTTTTGGAACTGCATAAAAATAGGGACGGAAATTTGAAATTTGACCAATGCCGATTCGCCTCCTTATCTCTAGTCTTCATACTATAGGCATTTGTCATATTGACAATTACAAAAAAACATCAGTAAATTTTAATCAACGCTACCCACTTTATTTAGATACCACACCACTTCGTGCATTATCAGAATTGTTAAAATAAACAACATATGCATAATAAAAATATTTATTCGGTCTCTTGTGACAAATAAAATTTGTTTTTTTTAACTGGTTTCTTATTTCATAGAGAAAGATAGTCCGAAATACATATAATAAATTATTAATTCGTGTCGTCCATCCGCTTTCATCTAGTTTTTTTATTATAATTAATAATATATTACCCCTTCCATACGGTACCGCACTGTTATGTGTACAGTTTGTTGTACGTTTCCTCTCTCTCCGTCCTGATAATCATTAAATCTACTATTCTACCAGTAAGGCCTATCTATCCAAATACATGATCATTGATTTGAGAAATTAGAACTATACAGTTCATCAAATTTCTAGAGGCTTTCGACGGCTAGACAGAGAAAGCACTACTGACAGGCATCCCGACGGATTTACGCAATGAAAGTACACTCTGCGCATCAAGTATTTCACTATTTCATTCAGACGTAAATGTCAGATGTAAATTTCGCTAAAACATTTCTTTTATTTTCGTTTGTGTTTTTTGCTCATTACAGTTTAATAGAACCTAAGTATGGAGTTTAATAGCAAATTAAGAGGCCGCGTGATTAACAGTCAATCTCGCGAAATAATAGCCAATGTTATAGAGTTTATGAGAAGAGAAGGATACTTTAATTCACCTTCAATACCATTTAAAAATGTAAATGATCGTGTTGCTGCAGCCACAGGAGTATCTAAAAACACTGTCGTCCGCATTTCTGGAGAGAAAAAAAGAATCGATAACCGTGAGATATCGGAATTTTCATCACCAAGAAAAACCATTAAAAAACCAAAAACAGTTAATGATGTAGATGAAGCTGCACAAGAATCAAATTTTATTTTTTTATTATTAGATAGCTATTTTTGTTTCTGAGTTGTGTTCATTTACAGGCTCAATTTTTTTCCGTTTCTCCTTTTTGATTTTATATGGGGTTTCAAGTTGTTTTTGACTTATTTCGACGTAAATCACAACAACACACTTTTTTAATAAAGCAAACAAGTGTTAAGAGGTATATGTACGTGTAAACTACAATTACAAAAAATTGATATGAAACCCATGAAACCACCAACAAAAATGTAAAGCTAGCTTCCGTACTAAAACATGGTGTCATTCGTCGAGATAATTTATCGTTTTGTTTAATAGATCAAGAAATGTAAATATTCCCCTGTTATTTTTTATAAAATTATAAGAGAAATAATTTTTTTTCTAAATAGTATAGTTTATTATTTTGTAGAAAAACAAAATTTCGAAAATTTTAGTAATGTTTCAGAAACAACCGTTATTAATAATAGGTACCATTTTCCTTAATAAGGTAGAAATAAAATATAAACTATTTCCACGATTTACAAAGGCCTACAAAAAAATTATAGGTATTTTCCGCTATCTTATAAAATTTATATTTTCTGACTCAATTTCAAAAGGTTGAAGGAATTCCAAAACACCTTTTATGGCATAATAATTATTTTCAATTCTACATACTATCTTTAGCTGCTTTTAAAAACGTTCTAAGAAAGTCCAATCAGACCAATTTAATCCCTAAACTATTCCACACGTTTAAAATTTAATTACCTAAAAATATTAAAAACTATTTAAAATAACTTGTTTAGCAGACTGTACAATAGCTATCTTATAGCGGATTCGACTCAAATGATCTTGCTCGATGACATAGCGCTTTTAGTTCTGAATTGATTTTGGGCAGCATTTTTATAATTCAAATTTATATCTAGCAGTGTACACAGCAAGCACGAGCTAGAGTTCGACATTGGTGTAGTGCATCTTTATCGTTATTCGACTGGCACAGTTAGCACTTGTCATTTCAGGTTTCTAAAAAATTTTTAACGATATTTATTTATAGTTGTCAAACCAAAAATTAAATCCCTATTAATTTCAAAGATTTTACATTCTCACTAATAATAAAAACAAAGATGGTAATATATTTAAAAATATTAAATAATTCCTAACCTCCAAAATGACACCGGCACTGAAAAAAAGTACAGTTCCAAAAAATTCGAACTTTAAGCAAGAGCGCCTGCCAGTCGAACAAAAATTTCACTATGCCTTGGTACCGAGCAATTTCAGTCGAATGCAATAATTGACTTTTAATTAATTAGGTTCTGCCAGTCGAACAGACACCACTTAAAAAAGTCGAACTAAATGCGCATTAATGCATCCAGTCGAATCCATTATAAGTCACACGCAATGAACTGGAGGGGGGTAGAATGCCAATGTACATGTTGTACTATTAGAATTAGGTGCGACTCGATGGGCGCAGCCATTTTTATTGTTCATCTCACTCGGGACTATTTATAATAACCATTTTCTGTTTCACATTGTTATTGTTCAATCCACAAGCTGGTGGATCAGACAATACCAATGTGAAATAGAAAATGGTTATTTTAAATACTCCCGAGTGAGATGAAAAATAAACTATCTTCGCCCATAGAGTCGCACATCAAGTCTATTGACAAGCATTCTACCCCACTCCAGTTCATTGGTCACACGTAGCGCGTTCTCTGTATGGGCGTCGAACACCTCTAGAAATTTGATGAACTGTACTCTGTTTTCAAACTAGGAAGAGCGAATTGAAAAGTCCCATTTACACAGGGAAAAATAACTAAAAAAGTAACTAGATATCATTTTAGCAGTAAATTTGAATTTGTCTTGTATCATTTCAAGAAAAACATTTCAAACTTTGTTATGAATGCAATGAAGTTAAAGTTTTAGATAACCAACGAATAAAGATGACACTAAATTCTGCTCATTCCGTTTTTTATTTATAATTATTGTATTTTAGTTGTACTTTTATTTTTTCATTACTTCGCCTCATATCGCAGCTCGCACCAGTATGATGGAGAGAATCACCCAAGCAGCGACTAAATGTCAGTAAATTGAGTAAAATGTCGCCCAACAAAATCAAAGTATATTAACCGTTGAGTAGCGACATAAAGCGTCGGTGCCTTTGATCTTGGGTGGTGCAAATTTTTTTTCTCTCTCTTTTGACGTTATTGACGGAACGACTGCTCGAATTATGAACTGGTCTTGAATATGATGTTTACACTGCTCGACGTAGTTTGAAGTAAAACTCTTTTGTAGTTTACATTTATAATAAAGGTTTGGTCATCTTGCAGTTTTATATTTATGAGTATTTAACTTATGTAATAAATATAAAAATATATATCACTATTGATAAATTTCAATTTTTTTACCTACGTCCGGATGAGCTAGATACTTGAAAGTTGGTAGGTGCACAGGGTTTTGATTTTTAATAACAATAGAAATTATTACTTATGGACCTTCTTATTTATTAATCGAGTTGTCTCAAACTTTAAATTTCGCGTTGTTTAAACGTGTCGCTAAATACAATTTTTGACTAATAAATCCACAACAACGAATTCCTATATCAGCTGCCGGACTAAAGTGAAAGGGGTTGTTTACATCTTTAGAAGACGTCTCGCCTCTCTATTTCGCGTCGGCGCACTAGAATTCGGTTCTCTAGCTGTCGCTACTCAACGGTTAATATACTTTGACAAAATACAAATTAGATAAATAGGTATGCCAGTTCTATTTGTTGAAATGAAATTAAGCACCTATTAATACCTACCTACCTACCTACCTACAAAACATATTTAGGATGAACTGAAAAATATGTTGTTGAAGAAGAGCTTATTTAAACTGCAAATTTTGGGAGGTACAAAAAAAAATAATGTTTATTTTTATATTTCTTTATAGGTATAGTTTTATTATTTGTAATATTTTTTCTTAAAATTAAACTAAAAGATTACCATTAGTTGTTGTATGGATTTCATAATTAAATAAAGGTTCTTTCTTCAGGTAAAATGTAGCAAAGTTCTGAAGTATATTATAGGATATGTTTGAAGACAAGTGTTTTGAAATCAAATGGACAAGGATCATAACTATACGAATTTTGTCTCCACTAACAAGATGTTATATTCAACAGTGGAAAGTGTAAACATGTTGGCAACAGCTTATTAAATGTATAATTGGTGTATTTTCAAAATATGTGTCTTGGAGCGGTTGCCGAATTAGGTGTAATAATTAATATTTTTAGTTTGTAACCACTAAAATTTAAAGCTGCTCTCATTTTTATTGTAAAATTTAAGGGAAGCCTTTCTATAAATCCAGATATCTCAAAAACGGCTGCTCAATTCTACTCTTACTACTTGCAAAACAAAATTTTTTATTTAAAAGTTTCGAGTAAAATGTTTAGTGAACGGTCTGAGAACTAACCCGTTTCTTTAACGCAGCTTTAGGCTTTAAAAGCTGTTTCTTAATGTTATATTAGAAAATTTATCTGGGTGCGACTCATGCAAAAACACTCTAAAATCTGACTCATTAATTATAATCTAAAATATACATTACCAAACCCATTGCATGAACACTTCCTGGGAACAAATCAAATCATAGCTTCACGATGTAACCAGAGAGAAAGTATTTTATATAAATTCAATTTTTTTTTTAGATTTGCTATATTGATTTGATGATGTCATTAAACAAAACAATCTTCAAGTGACAAACAGCTATCAAATCAACATTTTGTAAGATTGTACATTGAAACAAAGTTGATATGTGTGTAATAAAATAATTTAAAGCACTAAAAGGAATAATTACAATTCAAAATAATCCACGCACATGGCGGTCAGATCCAATAAACGGCGATGAAACCATGGTAACCAGTAAACAAAAATATAGGGCACTGTTGACTATTAATCTTTTTTCACCACAAGAAAAAATAGATCGATTTATGACGTATTAAAAATGAACTTTAATTTAGATGAGAAAAGTAAGTAATAAAGTGATACCGTCTATCACCTTGAAACGATGCTAAATAACTACCTACCGGAGTGTAAATTTGTTTAATTTAAATGGTAAATAAAACGATTTTTGTGCACATTTAGAGATAAGCTATTGTCAGTTTAAGATAAATATAATTCATAATAATAATAAAGCAACGAATTATTTTGGTTTGTACATCGTACTTATGTAGATTATCAGTTTTACGTTAAACTTACTTTATCGTTAATCCAAGTATTTCCGTAAAAAGATATGTAAATAACTTTTTTTTCTTTTAAAAATAATAATTTGTAACGTCTAGGTAGTTATTATTAATATGAGATATACAGTCTGTTCGCTATACTTACGCAGGTTTCGGATTAACAAAATTATGCAAATTAGTCATTGACAACCATTTCCAATAACCCTCTTCCCAAGAAATTAGGTAAAATTGCCCTAATGGTCAGATTTAAATTAAAATAACATTAGGGTAGGTATTAAATTTGTTACAAATATTGCAGTTGAATTGATTCTTTGCAAGTGTTGACATGCTATGTATATTGCAAATTAAGTGGACATTTTAAAAATGCCTAGACGTGTGTTAGATGTAGATAGTCTAATTTGTAGTGTACATAAGTATTTTACGGATGAAAAAGAAAGTGACGGTTCTTTAAAATCGGTAATGTCTGTACAACAACGCGTATGCGATGCTCTAGGAATTAGTGAAACCAAATTAGGAGGAGTATTACAAAATCAGAATAGTGAACTGCCGAAAGAAGATCACCGCAAAACTCGCCTATCATTGAAAACGAAAGATATTCCAGATGGAAAGAAATTTGAAATTCGTGATACCATTTATCGAATGAGGGCCAACAAGGAACATGTGACTTTAAATACAATTCTCTCGGAATTAATAAGATAGAAAATTTGACGACATTGACAGAACAAGTCTATGGCAAGTGATACATAACTTGGATTTCAAAGTTCAAAAGGATAACAGGAAGGCCCTTTGTGAAAGAAGTTCTGTCGTGCACAAGAGAATTAACTTTCTAAGAAAATATTCTAAATTTAAAGAAGAAGGGGCGAATTTTATATATTTAGACGAAACATGGATATTTTCTAGGGGTGCAACCAAGAGAATATGGCAAACATACCGATGGAGAAGGGAAGCGACACATAATTTTACATGCAGGAGGGAAATTGGGTTTTATAGAAGAATCAAAATCCAGTGACTATTACGATAATATGAACACAGAAATGTTTGTAAAATGGTTGCATGAAAAACTTCTCCCAGGTTTAAATGAGCCCAGCGTAATTATTTTAGGCAATGCACCTTACCATTCTGAAGTATTAAACAAAAGTCCAACGAATTCTTGGATTGTTGATAAAATTAAAGAATGGTTGACAAAGGAACATATACCATTTCCACAATATATTGATATAGAAATTCCTAACGTCATCAAATTTATTATCTAAATTAAACGATACTGGGGTGGTGAAGTGTCTTGAAATTAAAATTTCAGTTAAAAATCAAAATGTTGGGGTTTTTGTTGATTTGAAAAAAAATAGTCAGTGAAATTAGAGATTGTCAAAAAGCTTTTTGGGAGATATGATATTTTGAATTTGTTTTGGAAAAGAGAAAATAAACGAGAATATATAAAAAGGTAAAAAGAGATTTTATTGCAAATTTTAGAGAACAGATAGAACAGTGAGAGGAATCGAGGCAGACAGAGGAAACCAGCAGTCCAAAAAAGTAGACAGTGAGCAGAGGAGACAAGAAGTTAAACATAAAAGAAAGGTAGTGAGAAGTTTTATTTCAATTTAAGAGGAAAGTCTAGCAGATAGCAGACGTAGGAGGTCAGAGTACAGAGGAGGAGCAGGAGAATTAGGAGAAACAGGAGAAGCAGAAGAAGCAAAAGAAATAGGAAAAGCAGGGCCCCTAAGAAGAAACATTCAAATTTTTTTTTAAGTTTATTATAATTTGGTTTTTAATTTTATATTGTAAATTTTTAAGAGTCTGGGCAAATTTATTAAAAAAATTGATATACAGGGGGTTTCTATATCAATATATTAAAATCAGAATTATTACGCTTGGCGAATATACACGTAAAACCAAAAACCTTTGTTGTGGATCAGATTATTCAAAGTTGCGGTCATCAAGTTTTACGTCTGCCACCGTATCATTGCCAGTTTAATCCCATCGAATATATATGGGGAATAGCAAAACAATATTATGACAACCATATTGGGCCTAATGGTTATAGTGACGACGCAGTTCGGGAAACTTGGCGAAAAGCACTTTCAATTGCAACTCCAGAAGTGTGGCGGAACTGTATATCCAAGTGCGAGAAACTAATAGAAGATTGGTGGACTCGTGAAAATAAAATAAACGAAATAAGTCCAATCATAATAACAATTAATGGTGATGACAGTGATGATGACGATTATGATATTTTGGGTGATAATGACTGATTTTCATTTTTGTTGGCAAGTTCAATTTTTTTATTTTTCATTTGAAATTCTCTACATGGAACAAATTTTTATGTTAGAATATATTTTATTTGAGCTAAATAACCCTCTTATTATTCGCTCCGTGCGCGACAGCAGCGCCAATTTGTTTTGGTATTAAAGGAGTATTTCTGCCTATACTGACAAATACAATTTTTAATAGAATTCGTAAATAAAAAGTATATATGTTAGTTTTAATAAAAGTATATGGATTTATAAAACAATTAAAACATTAATTTATTATTATTATATATTTTTCACGCTTAAATTGAAGAAAATTATGTATAATCATTAAAAATCAATAATAAAATATAGGCAGGCAACAGTATTTACTGGAAAATGTATGAGAAGTTGCCTAAGTCTAATAAGTTGTCATTGAAGAAACCATTTATAATAGCGTGAAGTTAAAATGTATAAAAAGGATCGCTACTTATATTTTCATTTTTGTTCTAAAGAAAACATAGAATGAATGATTAAAACTGGTTTCCGATCAGTAAGTCACAAAATTGCATACCAGCCAAATATTATAATCAACGGCAGAAATCTTGAAATCTAGTCCTTGCTGAATGAACATTTAAGAATAAAGGGATATTAAAGAACATCGTAAAATGATAATTTATTGTTTATTTTAAAACTTTCTAGTTTCTGATGTCTACTATTTCCAGCATTACTGTTATTATCACAAAAATAAAGGTAATTTTTCTTCTTATTGTACACCTATCCATTTATTTCTTTGATTTAATTTCCACTTTGTTAGTGAAATTTGTTATATAAGTTTCACTGTTTTTTTTTTGCTAGTATTTGTACAATTTTCAACACAGCAACTTCGGTTGCTTATTGTGTTGTTTTTACCTACTTTTTTGAAAAAAAGTAAAATGTATACGTGTATTTGATATGCCAAAATTACAAAATATCCCCCTAAAATGCACGAATTATCCGCAGCTAGCGCTAGTATCGCTTTTGCTTCCCTTTCCATGACTTCGCACGGAGCGAATACATAGACCATAGTTTCTGTGTGAAGTGTAATATAAAATTATTCTGTTTAATTCTGCTCTCAATTATACAAAAGATTCTCCACTATTATTTAATTAAAAAGTTGTACATTATTTTTCATTTCATTTAACCAGTTGATATTTCCCCAAAGAACAGGTCAAACTTTCGGGTACTTACCTGGAAATACTCATAAAAATGTTTAATCCGAAACCCGCGTAAGTATAGCGAACAGACTGTACCATAAACAATATCCAAAACTTTCGTGTATTACTTTAGTAATTTAATTTTAATAAACATAATTACATACTATATAAGTATTTAATAATTAAAATATATTCACCCTCTACCCACCGGAAGACTACGCTTATTTTACTCAACTACCTGATGCGAAATTATCCTGTAGACCGGCTCAGTCGTGCATCTGTTTCTTAATCCGATATGAGTGTAAATTCAGTGAATGACTTATAATGTTCACTTTGACATTAGCAAAACGTATTGTAGAACATTCGATAGCCAACACTGTATTATCACAAAGATCTCTTAATAACTAAATGATTTCATTTAATATAGTGTCTTTTTTTTTTTTTTTTTCAATAACATGGATATGGCTAGAGTTATCCTCTACTTTAAAATAAATAAGTTCATAATTTTTTAAATAAAATATTTTATACAATTTTTTTTTTACCAAAGCCAATTTTTTTTCAGATCTAACCTCTGTAAGTAAAAAATAAGTGATTCAGGTAAAATTGAAAAGTGTATTACATGTTAATAGCCCCTGGATTTACAGCTCGTTTAATGGAACAAGCAATATACTTCTCAATTTATTATTGCCGAATGTATATATTTAAAATTCCCGCCATTCTGCTGCTGGAAATTACGATTTTGGCGGGAAATTTAAATTTCGCCTTAAAATTATATTTGCATTTACCGCCATATCGAGTTATTTGAGCGGCCAGTCGCATTTAGCGCTGCAAACGTAGTGCCATCTCTTTAACACTACTACAGGGGATATATTGTGGATCTTAAGACAAAACGTTTTCCATAAAAACAAAACGCTTTGAAATGTTTAATAGTTAAACAGCCGCTTTACTTTGCTGCAAGAAATTTACCACAAAAAAATTAAATAAAGAAGCTTCTCCATAACGCAAAAATAAAACAACATATTAATAGCAAAAATATATTTCAAAATTAAAAATGCACATGCCTATAAAAAATACAAAACTCAAAATGCACATGCTTAATTTAGAATGTTTAAATGTCATGGAGAAGCTTCAGAATGATAGCACCAGAGCTTTATTCTTTTCCAATTAAAAAACATTACATAAATAAAATACTAAAGTAACACAAAATAAGTACAATACTGTTTTGTTATCACAAATTCGAAAAATTTATGAGTCACATGCTAAAAATTCTTTAGCTTCTCCAGTTACAAATATAAAAAAATAAAATTTAATAACAAAAACGAAAGCTCTTAGTGCAACCATTCCACAAAAAATCAACGTAATTTCA